AAAAAAAAAAAAAAGACTTAAAAATTTCATCACCATGAAAAACAGAGAAAAGTACACATGAGTTTTCAGTATAAAGAACCATTGTCAAGATATACGAACTCAACTGCACTAGAATTTTTAACAAATAAAACCACATAAAGAATACATACCAAGAACGAGATACAATTGGGCATGAGCCATGACCTTTGCTATTACAGGTCTGAAAACACTTGAAAAATCAGTTTCAATCTCCTTCAACCACCAAAAAAAAAAACACAACAGGCACCAGATCTAACATTAAACCCTTCAATGAACCATAAATTGCAACTATATATGAAAGAAAATTGATGAAATTGAAACTCTATTGGCGACCAACTCTATTGGCGACTCTATTGGCGACCAACCCTAGAAATTTGGTTGCAGAATCACCCTATCAGCGACCAACAATAGTTCGTCGCTGATAAGTTTGGTCGCAAAAGGGTAATTTTCTCGTAGTGGGATTTCACCCAAAATTCCCCAAATGAATCCTCCCACCATATTACGATGTTAACCAAGTTTTGGGCTCGATCCAAAATCAATAGGTGTAAGAGATTGGACAATTCAAGTTGAAGGGCAGTTCGTTCCTAATTGGAGTGGTTGGTGTATTGGGTAGTTCTAGCGATCGGATTTCACTCAAAGTTCACCAAATGACTCCTCCCACCATATTACGATGTTGCCCAAGTTGAGGGCTCGATCCGAAATCAAAAGCTGTAAGAAATTGGACAATTCAAGTTCAAAGGCAGTTCGTTCCTAATTGGAGTGGTTGGTGTATTGGGTCGTTCAAGAGATTGGATTTCACTCAAACTTAACCAAATGACTCCTCTAACCATATTATGTTGTTGCCCAAGTTTTGGGCTCCATCCGAAATCAATAGGTGTAAGAAATTGGACAATTCAAGTTCAAAGGCAGTTCGTTCCTAATTGGAGTGGTTGGTGTATTGGGTCGTACAAGAGATTGGATTTCACTCAAACTTAACCAAATGACTCCTCTAACCATATTATGTTGTTGCCCAAGTTTTGGGCTCCATCCGAAATCAATAGGTGTAAGAAATTGGACAATTCAAGTTCAAAGGCAGTTCGTTCCTAATTGGAGTGGTTGGTGTATTGGGTAGTTTTAGAGATCGAATTTCAGTCAAAATTAACCAAATTACTCCTCCCACCATCTTATGACGTTGCCCAAGTTTTGGGCTCGATCCGAAATCAATAGGTGTAAGAAATTGGACAATTCAAGTTCAAAGGCAGTTCGTTCCTAATTGGAGTGGTTGGTGTATTGGGTAGTTTTTGTGACCGGATTTCTCTTAAAAGTCACCAAATGACTCCTCCCACCATATTACGATGTTGCAAAAGTTGAGGGCTTGATCCGAAAGCCAAAGGTGTAAGAAATTGGACAATTCAAGTTCAGAGGTAGTTCGTTCCTAATTGGTGTGGTTGGTGTATTGGGTAGTTTTGGAGATCGGATTTCAGTCAAAATTAAACAAATAACTCCTCCCACCATATTATGACGTTGCCCAAGTCTTGGGCTCGATTCGAAATCAATAGGTGTAAGAAATTCGACAATTAAAGTTCAAAGGCAGTTCGTTCCTAATCGGAGTGGTTGGTGTATTCCACAGTTCTAGAGATCAGATTTCACTCCAAATTCACGAAATGACTCCTCCCACCATATTATGATGTTGACCAAGTTTTGGGCTCGTTACGAAATCAATATGTATAAGAAATTGGACAATTCAGGTTCAAAGGCAATTCGTTCCTAATTGGAGTGGTTGGTGTATTCGGTAGTTCTTGAGAACGTATTTCACTCAAACCTAACCAAATGACTCCTTCCACCATATTATGTTGTTGCCCATGTTTTGGGCTCGATCCGAAATCAATAGGTGTAAGAAATTAGACAATTGAAGTTCAAAGGCAGTTCGTTCCTAATTGGAGTGGCTGGAGTATTCCTTGGTTCTAGAGATCGGATTTCACTCAAAATTAACCAAATGACTCCTCCCACCATATTATGATGTTGCCAAAGTTTTGGGCTCGATCCGAAATCAATAGGTGTAAGAAATTAGACAATTGAAGTTCAAAGGCAGTTCGTTCCTAATTGGAGTGGTTGGTGTATTCCATAGTTCTAAAGATCGGATTTCACCCAAAATTCACGAAATGACTCCTCCCACCATATTATGTTGTTGCCCAGGTTTTGGGCTCGATCCGAAATCAATTGGTGTAGGAAATTGGACAATTCAAGTTCAAAGGTAGTTCGTTCCTAATCGGAGTGGTTGGTGTATTCCTTAGTTCTAGAGATCGGATTTCACCCAAAATTCACCAAATGATTCCTCCCACCATATTATGATGTTACCCAAGTTTTGGGCTCAATCCGAAATCAATAGGTGGTAGAAATTGGACAATTCAAGTTCAAAGGCAGTTTGTTCCTAATCGGAGTGGTTGGTGTGTTCCATAGTTCTAGACATCGGATTTCACCCATAATTCACCAAATGACTCCTCCCACCATATTATGATGTTGCCCAAGTTTTGGGCTCAATCCGAAATCAATTGGTGTAAGAAATTGGACAATTCAAGTTCAAAGGCAGTTCGTTCCTAATCGGAGTGGTTGGTGTATGCCACAGTTCTAGAGATCAGATTTCACTCCAAATTCACGAAATGACTCCTCCCACCATCTTATGATGTTGACCAAGTTTTGGGCTCGTTACGAAATCAATATGTGTAAGAAATTGGACAATTCAGGTTCAAAGGCAATTCGTTCCTAATTGGAGTGGTTGGGGTATTGGGTAGTTTTGGGGATCGGATTTCAGTCAAAATTAACCAAATGACTCCTCCCACCATATTATGATGTTGCCCTAGTTTTGGGCTCGATCCGAAATCAATAGGTGTAAGAAATTAGACAATTGAAGTTCAAAGGCAGTTCGTTCCTAATTGGAGTGGTTGGGGTATTGGGTAGTTTTGGGGATCGGATTTCAGTCAAAATTAACCAAATGACTCCTCCCACCATATTATGATGTTGCCCTAGTTTTGGGCTCGATCCGAAATCAATAGGTGTAAGAAATTAGACAATTGAAGTTCAAAGGCAGTTCGTTCCTAATTGGAGTGGTTGGGGTATTGGGTAGTTTTGGGGATCGGATTTCAGTCAAAATTAACCAAATGACTCCTCCCACCATATTATGATGTTGCCCTAGTTTTGGGCTCGATCCGAAATCAATAGGTGTAAGAAATTAGACAATTGAAGTTCAAAGGCAGTTCGTTCCTAATTGGAGTGGTTGGGGTATTGGGTAGTTTTGGGGATCGGATTTCAGTCAAAATTAACCAAATGACTCCTCCCACCATATTATGATGTTGCCCTAGTTTTGGGCTCGATCCGAAATCAATAGGTGTAAGAAATTAGACAATTGAAGTTCAAAGGCAGTTCGTTCCTAATTGGAGTGGTTGGGGTATTGGGTAGTTTTGGGGATCGGATTTCAGTCAAAATTAACCAAATGACTCCTCCCACCATATTATGATGTTGCCCTAGTTTTGGGCTCGATCCGAAATCAATAGGTGTAAGAAATTAGACAATTGAAGTTCAAAGGCAGTTCGTTCCTAATTGGAGTGGTTGGGGTATTGGGTAGTTTTGGGGATCGGATTTCAGTCAAAATTAACCAAATGACTCCTCCCACCATATTATGATGTTGCCCTAGTTTTGGGCTCGATCCGAAATCAATAGGTGTAAGAAATTAGACAATTGAAGTTCAAAGGCAGTTCGTTCCTAATTGGAGTGGTTGGGGTATTGGGTAGTTTTGGGGATCGGATTTCAGTCAAAATTAACCAAATGACTCCTCCCACCATATTATGATGTTGCCCTAGTTTTGGGCTCGATCCGAAATCAATAGGTGTAAGAAATTAGACAATTGAAGTTCAAAGGCAGTTCGTTCCTAATTGGAGTGGTTGGGGTATTGGGTAGTTTTGGGGATCGGATTTCAGTCAAAATTAACCAAATGACTCCTCCCACCATATTATGATGTTGCCCTAGTTTTGGGCTCGATCCGAAATCAATAGGTGTAAGAAATTAGACAATTGAAGTTCAAAGGCAGTTCGTTCCTAATTGGAGTGGTTGGGGTATTGGGTAGTTTTGGGGATCGGATTTCAGTCAAAATTAACCAAATGACTCCTCCCACCATATTATGATGTTGCCCTAGTTTTGGGCTCGATCCGAAATCAATAGGTGTAAGAAATTAGACAATTGAAGTTCAAAGGCAGTTCGTTCCTAATTGGAGTGGTTGGGGTATTGGGTAGTTTTGGGGATCGGATTTCAGTCAAAATTAACCAAATGACTCCTCCCACCATATTATGATGTTGCCCTAGTTTTGGGCTCGATCCGAAATCAATAGGTGTAAGAAATTAGACAATTGAAGTTCAAAGGCAGTTCGTTCCTAATTGGAGTGGTTGGTGTATTGGGTAGTCCTAGAGATCCGAAATCAATAGGTGTAAGAAATTAGACAATTGAAGTTCAAAGGCAGTTCGTTCCTAATTGGAGTGGTTGGAGTATTCCTTGGTTCTAGAGATCGGATTTCACTCAAAATTAACCAAATGACTCCTCCCACCATATTATGTTGTTCCCCAAGTTTTCGGCTCGTTCCGAAATCGATAGGTGTAATAAACTGGACAATTCAAGTTCAAAGGCAGTGCGTTCCTCATTGGAGTGGTTGGTGTATTGGGCAGTTCTAGCGATCGAATTTCAATCAAAATTCACCAAAGGACTCCTCACGCCATATTATGATGTTGCCCAAGTTTTGGGCTCGTTCCGAAATCAATATGTGTAAGAGGTTGGACTTTTCAAGTTTAAAGGCAGTTTGTTCCTAATTGGAGTGGTTGGTGTATTGGGTAGTTTTAGAGATCGGATTTCAGTCAAAAGTAACCAAATGACTCCTCTCACCATATTATGATGGTGCCCAAGTTGTGGGCTCGATCCGAAATCAATTGGTGTAGGAAATTGGACAATTCAAGTTCAAAGGCAGTTCGTTCCTAAATGGAGTCGTTGGTGTATAAGGTAGTTTTAGAGATCGGATTTCAGTCAAAAGTAACCAAATGACTCCTCCCACCATATTATGATGTTGCCCAAGTTGTGGGCTCGATCCGAAATCAATTGGTGTAGGAAATTGGACAATTCAAGTTCAAAGGCAGTTCGTTCCAAATCGGATTTCACTCAAACTTCACCAAACGACTCCTCCCACCATATTCTTTTGTTGCCCAAGTTTTGG